GGCGTTGTATAGGGCTGACATCACACACTCTTCCTTGGTATCTGGCTTCACTCAGGCCAGTGTTGGCTGTAGGATGTTTCATCCCTCAGTTCCTTTTATGGGGACCATTCAATAGATACAGTGTGCTGTTTATCCATTCATTAGTTGGTCATCTGGGTTTCTACCTTTTGCCTTCTAACAAATTTCTGCCATGAGTATTCAGGTACAAGTTTGTGTGTCATCATACTTTTGTTTCTTTTGGACACACAGGTAACAGGGGATTGCTTGGTCCTAACGTAAAACTTCAATTTCACCTTTAGACGAACTGCCAAACTGTTTTTAAAGACAGCTGTATCATTTTACTTTCCCACCAGAAATGGGGAAGAGCTCCAGTTTCTCCATATATTTGCCAAATTCTTGTTATCTGGCCGAATTCATTCTAGCTGTTCTTGTGTGAGTTGGTATCTCAGCATGGCTAATGTTGAAATTTCCCTCCCATGCATTCGTTGGTCATTTGTATGTCCTTTATAGACTATTGATTCAGTTGCTGTTGTAAATTTTTTTTAGTGTGTGTGTGTGTGTGTGCACCATGTTTCTCTTTTTTATTGATAATATAAATATTATTTAGATATTTTTTCTACCTCCCCTCCCCCCCTTCCCATCCCAGTATTGGGGCTTGAACTTGGGGCCTCTCATTCTCAGCTTTTTTCTCACAGTTGGCACTCTGTCACTTGAATCATCCCTCTACTTCTGACTTTTGGCTAGCTAATTGGAGATGAGTCTCTTGGATTTGTCTTCCCAGGCTGATTCCAAACCTATATCCTCAGATCTCAGCCTCCTGAGTAACTAGGATTACAGGTATGAGCCACTGGTGTCCTGATTGTTTAGATATCAATACAAGTTCCCTATATTCTCATTCTGTATTTTCTTTTTTTTTTTTTATTGTGAAAATACCGTAGAGGGGTTACATGAGCAAGGTAATGAGTACATTTCTTACCAAGCATTGTTGTCTCCTCCTTTGTTTCCCCTTACTATCCCTGCCCTCCCCTCCCCCACCCCCTCCCCCACTCCGCCAAAGTTCTGTGTTGTATTTTCATTTTGGTATTATCTTTAAAACATACAGTTGGTTTTTTTTTTGTATTTTTAACTAGTCCTGGACCTTGAACTCAGGTCCTGAGCTCTGTCCTTGAGCCTCTCTGTGCCCAAGGCTAGCACTCTACCTCTTGAACCACAACAGCACTTCCAGGAGAACACAGGTTTTTATTTTGATTAAACCTTTTTCTTTGGTTCTTTGTGCTTCTGATCTTGGATCTAAGAAACCACTACCTAGCCCAATATAACACAAATTTTGTTTGCTGGTTTCATATTTTTCACTTTGTTGTTATTGGTGGTGGTGGTGGTTGTGGTGCTTGAACACAAGGCCTGGGTGCTGTCCTTTAGCTTTTGTGCTGAAGGACAGTGCTCTACCACCTAAGCCACAGCTCCATTTCTAGTTTAATTGAAGCATCTTATGGACTTTCCTGCCTAGGTTGGCTTTGAACTCAGATCCCAGCCTCCTGAGTAGCTAGGATTACAGGCATGAGCAACCAGTGCCCAGCAGCTTTTATTTTTATTTACTTATTTATTTTGGGTCCAGTCGTGGGCCTGACCTCTGGGCCTGGGTGATGTCCCTCAGCTCTTCACCTCAAGGTTAGCGCTCTACCACTTGAGCTACAGTGCCACTTCTGGCTTTTTTTTTTTTTTTTTCATGCTTATGTGGTGCTGAGGAATCGACCCAGGGCCTCATGCATGCAAGGCAAGCGCTCTACCACTGAGCCACCTTCCCAGCCCCCCAACTTTTTTTTTTAAAGACAGGTTCTCACCTCATAGCCCAGGCTAGCCTTGAGCTCATGACCATTCCTGTCTCCACTACTTCAGTACTAGGATTAATAGGTATCTGCAACTAGTATGAGCTCTCAGTCTTTCATCTGAGTTAATTTTTGTCTGTGGCATGAGATTATGAATGGCACCACTGCCTCAAGCTCAGAGCTAAGGGAAGGCCCCAGCATTGCTGAAGTCAGATCATGCCAGCAAGCTAGGCAGTCCTCTGGTCACACAGCAGCATGCCCTTTAATTAGGGTTTAGGTTGGTTGACTTAACAACCAGAGAGGCAGGATAGGATATTTATTGGAGATGACTGGCTACAGTATAATGGATTAAGACTGGAGCCCTAGTAAGAGATCATCTCACTAATTTAGAGGAGATTGTAGCTAAGGAAGGCAGTGGCGGTGAGCATGGAGATAAGATTAAAGATAGGGAAAAATGAGAAAGGTGCTAAGATTGGATGGCAAATAATAAAACCCTTGCTTAATAACAAAGAATGAATAGTCATTGGTTTTATTGAACAACTCAAACTAGTGCTAAAGGTACCTGTTCTAGAAGCAGGGCCTCTAGAATGGCTGAGCCATTCACAGCCTCCCACGAGGGCTTCGATGGTACCTGTGTTCATGTACACACTATTCTTGGTTGGCTGAAGTCAATTCACTAAATGCATTCACTTTATGCATACTTACTTGCAAATAACAAATCAATATAGGCTCTTCATCCCAGGTTTGTGCTCAAGTAGGTCCAAATTTGTAAGGTTTTTTTGTTATTGATTCTAGGCTATAAAAATGGGTAGTCTTGAGTCGAGTGCCACGGCTCACACCTATAATCCTAAACTACTCAGGAGGCTGAGATCTGAGGATCAAAGTTGGAAACAAGCCTGGGCAAACAAATCTAGAAGTTTATTTCTAGTTAACCAACAAAATTCCAGAAGGGGAGGTATTTAATGCCAGCCTTGTGCAAACAGCCAAGCAAGTCCATGAGGTATGAGTTTAAGGCCCAGTACCAGCATAAAATGTAAAAAAGGCAGTTTCAAGATACAAGGATGTTTCTTCCTAAACTCAAAATAACAGAGTTCTTATTCTCCTGAAGTAGGAAATTTTATATTTCCATAGTCAAAAAAATACATTTTTAAAGTTTGAAAAAGTAGTTGAGAATCTTGATGAAATTTATTTATTTCAGTAGAATAAAAACAATAAGCAGCATGGAAATGTAAAGTGCTACATAAAAGCCCACATTACATAAAATGTGAACGATTCCTTGGCTTAAACAGTTAAAAGTAAAACAGACATTTTTTTTTTAAAGCATGCTATTTTAACTACCTTGATTTATAAGAATGTGCCATGTTGGTCAGAGAAAAGGCCACAAATTGCCAAAATCTGAGAATGAGGGAAATTGGAGTCCTAAGATTTTTACCTACAGATTATACATAGTTTAGGTTTATGCTGGAATTAAAAATTTAAAGTGGGACTTTAAAAACAATAGTTTTCTGAAGAAGCCTATTGGTGGGCTCACAAGCCCCACAATAAGGGAGTTTTTAGGGAGTATATGTGAGGGAGTATATGTGCCATTACCAGATGTGTGTATTTGCTACTAGGAAATCCCACCACAAATTAGCAAGCAGCCAATTATTTGACAGGGAAGGGAAGAGAAGCCAATGAGGTGAAGGCAGGTTTTACACAGTGTTCAGCTTAAAGTACAGGTTTGCCCCATGGAAGCATGCAGGTCGCAGAGCTCCGAGGCTGCCTCAGATCTGAGAGGAGCAAATAGGACTGTTATAGCACATGATTTAGCTTGGCATAGGGTGAGAGCGTGGGTACTTTTTTCCTAGGTGGTAACGCTACTTGATCTTCTCAACTGAGTCACTGACTTGTTACTAAGAGACCACTGACCTGACGTTGTTCATGTTGTGTTATAAACCAAGACTTCAAGATGTATCTTCTCATGGCAATCGAAATTATAAAAGGACAACTTATAACTGTCTTGACCTGAGGGTTTCATGAAGTCCTTAGGCATTTTAGCCTTTCCTGACTTCAGCTACAGACATAATCTATGAACAACTTTAAAAGCTATTAAATTAGCGTTATATCTATTATTTATTTGTCAGTTGTGGGGCTTTAACTCAGGGTATGGGCACTGTCCCTGAGCTCTTTTGCTTAAAGCTAGTGCTCTACCACTCCGAGCCACAACTCCACTTCCAGGTATTTGAGTGGTTAATTGAAAATAAGAGGGACTTTTCTGCCCCTGCTGGCTTCAAACCACGATCTTCAGATCTCCACCTTCTGAGTAGCTAGGATTAGAGGCGGGAGCCACTGGAGCCCAGTGTTGTACAATATATTTTTATTTTAGATGCAGACATAATGGAAAACTGGCTATGAAAACAGAAATTATGTCTTGTGGTTAGTAGGTTCGAAATTCTAGTCTCATAACAAGAATAAAAGTTAAATTTGTCTTTAAAACGATTTTATGTAGTCTTTTGTATCCTGCCCATAATTCAGTTAAAATCACATAAGGACTTTATAATACCCTATCCCAAATGGGATAATTTTTATGGACGAGAGCTTAAATATTATTTATACTGCTTGTGGTGTCAAAATGAAACAAAAAAATCTAAGTGTACCTTTAGAGGCTAACCTAAAAGCCTGCATCTGAAAATTCAGTCTTCACCAAAGGGCCTCCATGCCACTAGGGAGCATGATGCAGTCTTCTGTGGGCAGTGCTGCAGCAGCATTGTGACAACACGTTTATCTATTAGCATCTGTGCAGCTGGCTAGCACTAAACAACATACAGACTCTTTTCACTGGACATCTTTCTTGGGCTTTGATTGGAATAATTCTATGTAAAGATTTCCTACCTTCTATTACTGCTATTATCGGGGCCCTGAGTTTTTCTATTAAAATGGTATGTGAAATATTTCAAATTATGCATATTCCTGGGATAATTAAAATTTATAATAATTACAAAGCTAGGTATAATAATACATTTCAAAATATATACAACTCAGAGCAGGGCAAATATTCAAATTTATGATCCGCTCACTTCTCTGAAAGAAAATGAAGCAATTTCCTAGCTTGAACCCTTCCTTCTTTAAGAAAATGGGTTATGGAGAACTGAGTTCTTTTTCTTCCTTCCCTTTTCTTCCTCCTTTCTTTTTTTAAAATCTGTATATATATCAGAGGGGGTAATAACAGCATATCAAAGTGGTTGCAAAGTATTTCCTCTTCAAGTAACATCCAGTAACAAAGATGTAACAAAGATGCAACAAAGATGCTCCAAGTGTTTGAAAAAAGTTATTTCACTGGAGAATATTTAAAATGCAAACAAAGTCACAGAATGGGCAACCCTAGTATTTCTCTTACAATGACACTGAAGGAAGCTACTTGAGTTCTGGTCTCCCTTTTCAATTCTTCTTTCCCTGCCTCATTCTACAGTAGAAAGAGTACTCTCTAAATGATACTGAGCAACTAGATAATACTCATGGGAATTTAAAACACCATCCTTTATCTGAAAAATTCAAAGGGCTACACAGAAAAGTATGGCAAATTTACAGAAAAAGAAGTTGAGCTGGAGAGACAGTAATAAATTCTTTGTCTGTGAAGCAGATGAAATAATGAGACCATGAACCCTGGCTTCTGGTCTCTTACTGAACAGTACATATTGCTGGACACAGCCTGAATGTCTGGCTATACTTACATTGAATTTATAAGGATCAAAAAAAAAAAAAGGAATGAAGGATAAATACAAAATAATCTTTTTTAAACAATTTTTAGATTATACCCAATACAGAATGTTTAATGAAGCAGTTGAGTCATAGCTCTTGAAGTCACAAAGCAGTATTATAACTCAAAGTCAAATATGTACTCATTGGCTAGATATATTCGTCGGAATATTAGAGCTGCCAATGCCAAAGTCAGGATGACAATCAGTACAGCTGACCCGCCATGATCGGTGTGGTTGTCTCTTGGCTGCTGGGCCTGGATTATGTCAGGTGAAGTGGATGACCTTCTTTGACTCTGCTGCTGGGCCCGGCGCTGCCGAGGGCTCATGGAGGTATTCTTAGCCACAGGTTGGGTAGGTTGTTGAAAGGATGCTGCAGACGAGTTCTGGACTCCAAACTACAGAATTTTGAGACATTTAGTTTGAACATAGCAAAGAAAACTGTATACGTACTAGTTATCTGTCCAAAAATACAGAGAATCTTGGAGTACTAAACATGACCAAAGGCAAAACTACCAAAACTAACATGAATACTGACTGGTAGGGGAGTGTACGGAACAAGTCAGCATCACAAGGGGCTCCCTCAGCCCACAGGCAGAGGAGCAGCCTGCCAGCAGCAAGGTAGACCGGCACAAGTTCACCTTGTCCCCTCTGGGGCTTTCCATGCCCTCAGATGCAGCTCTTAGCAGTCTGCCAAGTATCTGGGAGCTCCCCTACTTTTAGCAACCCAAAGTAGCAATTCGGTTTCCACTTTCAATTTGTCAATGACCCATTTTAAATGAAAAAAAAAAAAAAAAAAAAAAAAAAGCACCTCTGTGTCATGTGCCTTTCATGAATCAAGTTTCTTCCAGTATTATCTCATTATAGCAGCCTGCTTCCACCAGTGATGACAGAACACAGGCAGTGATCCCCACCTGTAAATTCTTCATAGCAATACAGTCATACCCTTTCACATTATTCCTGACAGAGGAACTGAGCACAAGTCCAGAAGTACCTTTTCTTTAGTATTGGATACTTTATGTTGTCAAGAGGTCCCTGGATAGAAGTGAGAAAATGTGGAGGAGTCAGCGTATGTTCTACTTGGGCCCACGCCTGCCCCTACAGAGCACTGGGTGACAACTGTGGCCCAGCCAGTCACTGCATAACCACAGCGTGACACCGAGGCCTTCAATATTTTCACTTTGGTTGACAGATAAGGAAAATGACTGCATAGTATAACATAAGAGTTCCATTTTATTTATATAGACACTTTAATCCTACCTCTAACAACTCAGTGACCTTTATTTCTTCTATTGAAAGCAATTTATACACTGGTTATAGATTGTTGTCCGTACATATTATTTCAAACAAAATTAAAATTTCTATTTTGTTCAAAATAATATAAAGTAAGTATAAAACATTTCAATACTTTCATAAAAACTTTAAATATTTAGAAGGAAAAGAAGAATCAAATAATACAATTCAAATACTTTTTTTTTTTTGGTCGGTCATGGGGCTTGAACTTTGGGCCTGGGAGCTGTCCCTGTCCTCTTCAGCTCAAGGCTAGCACTCTACAACTTGAGCCACAGCGCCACTTCTGGTTTTCTAGTGGTTTTATTGGAGATAAGAGTCTCACGGAGTTTCCTGCCTGGGCTGGCTTTGAACTGTGATCCTCAGATCTCAGCCTCCTGAGTAGCTAGGATTACAGGCATAAGCCACCGGCACCCGGCCAAATACTTTTTTAAAAGGTAAAGGGATAGGTTTTGGCCAACAACAGATTCAAACAGGGAAAAAATTGCAAATTTTCCATTTTCAATCTATTGTTCACTTCAACTTTAAAAGGTTTTAGCTGCACATGGTGTCCTATGCCAAAACTGAGCACTTGGGAGGTAAGAAGAGTTCAAGACCAGTTTTAGCTCTATAGCTGATAGCCACCCTGTCTTTAAAAAAGCATACTAAAAAAAAAAAGGTCTAGGGGCTGGGAAGGTGGCTCAGTGGTAGAGCGCTTGCCTTGCATTCATGAGGCCCTGGGTTCGATTTCTCAGCACCACCTAAGCAAAAAGAAAAAAGCCAGAAGTGGCGCTGTGGCTCAAGTGGTAGAGCACTAGCCTTGAGGTGAAGAGCTGAGGGACAGCGCCCAGGCCCAGAGTTCAGGCCCCACAGCCAGACCCCCCCCCCCCCCAAAAAAAAAAATCTATGCAGGGTACCTGTGGCTCACATCTGTAATCCTAGCTACTCAGGAGGCTGAGATCTGAGGATCGAGGTTTGAAGCCAGCCTGAGCAGGAAAGTGTGGGAGACTCTTATCTCCAATTAATCACAGAAAAAGCCAGACATGACACTGTAGCTCAAGTGGTAGTGTTAGCCTTGAGCAAAAGAAGCCCAGGGATAGCACCCAAGCCTAGAATTCAAGCCCCAAGACTGGCTTTAAAAAAAAAAATCTGTAGCTCAGTGGTAGAGCATTTGCTTAGCATACACAAGACCCTAGACCCTAGTTTCAACACCAGTACAGGAAAGAAAAACCCAAAGATTATCTCTCTCTCTCTCTCTCTCTCTATCGTGTATAGTGACCCATAATGCAGAGATAGAAAAGGAACTACTGATGCTTGAGTTAAAAATTGAAGCTAGTGCTGCTAATGAACTGAATTACATGAATTTGAATCTCTATAGTCCAAGACTCCAAGAAGCAACCTGCTCACTGAAGAATGCACAAAGCTCAGGGGTTTATGGGATCCTCTGTCATCACCTGTGTCACAGTGAATGAACAAATACTCAATGACTGAACCAAGTTATGGCAGCAATCAAGCAATCAGTCCCCATTCTCCTGACTACTCAGCCATGAACAGAAAAGCATTCAATAAACCAACCAAGGTTTAAAAGGAGCCAGTTCTTAAGGACTATGAAAATCATGATAATATTGATCCAGAATTCGGCACAAAAATGGCTCAGACTGTAGCCTTTGTTTATTCATCTTATCTAGCAGGAGACATCCTCCCATAACCTGACCAAAGAAGGGAGCCTGTATCATCACCAGGCTGGCTTTGCCACTAAGTACATGTGACCCTAAGCAACTTATTTAACCTAAGTCTCAGCTCCCTCATCTGTACAGTGAGGGAGGATAATATCCAATTTGCCTGTTGTGAGGATTAAACTGGCATAAGGATATAAAGTGCTTAAAATAAAAATTACTTGTTATATGTTAATTATTACTAATACTGTTATGAATTCACTTGGGAGTTTTTTGGCCCTTTATTGTATGATTAATATACTTAGAAAAACAGTACTTAAAATATTGACTTAAAACAATCAATACAATGGTAATGTATGCCTACAATTCTAGCCCTTAGAAGGCTTTTTGCTTATGTGGTGCTGAGGAATCGAACCCAGGGCCTCATGCATACAAGGCAAGCTCTCTACCACTGAGCCACTTTCCCAGCCCCCATGAAACTCTTACCTCCAATTAACCTCCAATTAAGAACCAAAAAAGCTGGAAGTGGAGCTGTGGTTCAAGTGGTAGAACACTAGCCTTCAGTATAAAAGCTCAGGCCCTGAGTTCAAGCCCCCGGGCCAGCGCATGCGCGCACACACACACACACACACACACACACACACACACACACACACACACACACACACACACACACACACACACACACACACACACACACACACTCACACACTCACTCATAAAGACCTTAACAACATATATCAATTTATAATAACAACTCAGACTAACAGCATTTGTAAGGAAATTTTGTGTTTGCTTGTTTAATATAAAATGCAATGACTTATTCAGAACTTCCATCCCTGGGAAGGGAAAATCTGATGGACTGAAGACTATAAAAGTACCATCAAGAATTTTTCCTATTTCTACATGGCTAACCACTCAGCATTAAAGCCCAGCAGATGGCCTGCTGTTGTTATCTGCTGAATTTAGACTTTGGCAATCCCTTACTCCCACCAATGCTAAAAAAAAATGTAGCTTATCTGGGATTTGATGTATAATATCTCTGAATTTATATTACATTTACACATAAATCACCTACCCCAAGCCAAAACCAGGTTTCAGTTACTTCCATAGTAGTTACATTATATAATCACACTGAGAAAGTTCATTTATAAGTGTAATTAAAAGCTCCACTTTCAATTTAGACAATTTGTTGCTTATGCATATTTAGCCAAAATTGATTACAATTATATTTATATTTATATATAAACATATACATATATATGTATATCTTTGAAAAAAAGAAATTTAAGAGTAGAGTGTTTGCATAGCATGCATGAAGCCCTGAGTTCAATTCCTCAGTATCACATAAACAGATAAAGCTGTAGTTCAAGTAGAGTGCTAGCCTTGAGCAAAAAGAAGCTCAGGGACAGTGCCAGGCTGAGTTCAAACCCAGGACTGGAAAAAAAATTTTTAGGTTTCATGCACATTAAAATCAAATGGAAAATACTACTATACTAATAACATGCAAGTGATTTTTGAATTTTACTTAATTTTGATTAATGTAAATTGGACTTTAGATAGACATATGGCTAGTACAAGTATAGAGGATAGAGCAAGTTTTGGCTCTAGATATTTATCAAGTTAATGCCTTGATGGAGCTTAACATTATCTTGTCAAAGATAAAAGGAGCTGACATATTTTTATTTAGAGTGTAGTACTGTATTAAAACTAATTTTGTTAGAGAACTCAGAGTTGTGAAGAGATAATACGACTTAAAAATCATTTAGTCCATTCCCACTTAACAAAAAAAGAAAAAAACCCAGAGAGTAATTTTGTGTATGTGTATGCTCAGTTTTGAACTCAGGGCCTGGCACACTACCACTTAAGCCACAGCTCCACTTCAGTTTTTTGGTGCTTAGAGATGAGTCTCATTGGCTCTCCTGCCCAGACTGGCTTCAAATGTCAATCCTCAGACCTCAGCCTCTTGAGCAGCTAGGATTACTATAGGTGTGAGTCATTAGTGCCCAGCTTCCAGAGAGTAATTTGATCAAGGTCATATAACTCATTAGAAGGATAGCTAAACCAGAATCCACTTATAAAGAGAATGTAAACTTTCAGATGTTTGATCTGGGAACTTACTCTATTCCAAATAATGCTAACCACATGGATATGAATATGTATAAAGATAAGCTACATACCGATGTGCTGGCTGTAGCACCCTGGAATGTTGTGGCAGGTGTATCATCTTGTAAATCATTTAGTGAAAAAGAGTTTTTGCTTAAGTCTGACTCAGCAATAGTCTTTCCAGATGAATTGACTTCTGCCTAAAAAGAAGATAAACCCAAGAGTAATGTTACATGGGAGATGTACAGAAAACGACCCAACCTACTAAATCCCCTCTCCTGGAGTTGTTTTAATTGTTCCTTTAATAACATGAGCACTCCTGTATCTGACTCCCTGCTACACTGCTACATATTATAACAGGCAGAGACAAACCTGTTTTTAGTTGCTGCTAAATGGCAAAGGACAAAAATCAACACCACACTTCACAATCTACAATTGTACCCTGTACTCAGAAGTTTTTGAGTAACTTTTTTTTCCCCCAGTCCTAGGGCTTAAACTCAGGGCCTGGGCACTATCACTGAGTTTCTTTTGTTCAAGGTTAGCACTCTACCACTTGAGTCACTGTACCACTTCTGGCTTTTTCTGCTTATGTGGTACTGAGGAATTGAACCAGGGATTCATGCATACTAAGCAAGCACTCTACCACTAAGCCACATTCCCAGCCCGTGAGTAACTTTTAGAATGAACTTCTGACATAAACTGAAATGAGGCTAATGGCATTTTATCTCACATTATTAGGGAAAATAGTCCTAGGTTTGCTGAGGAAATAGTAATGGCTTAGACTATCCATTCCTAGAGGTGCGGTCCAAGATCATACTGCAGTTACTTAATGTATGGCATATATAAGTCATCTTCTAAAATCTGAAAAAGTCTAATGTAAACATATCTGGCCCAAATACTTTCAGAGAAGACATTTTAAGTGTAACAGGAATCCTAGGACCAACATATACATCCCCTCTCCTAACTTCAATAAATAGCATGAGAAAGCTTCTCCCAAGAACTGGACTGGGTGCTGGTGGCTCACGCCTGTAATCCTAGCTCTGAAGATCTGAAGATCACGGTTCAAAGCCAGCCTGTGCAGGTGAGACTCTTATCTCCAATAAACTACTCAGAAAACTACTTGGCCCTGTGGCTCAAGTGGTAGAGTGCTATCCTTGAGCTGAAGAGCTGAGGATTAGTGCCCAGACCCAGAGTTCAAGCCTCACGACCAACAAAGAAAAAAAAAAAAGAACTGAGCCAAGCTAGTGGGTCACGCCTGTAATCCTAGCTACTCAGGAGGCTGAGATCTGAGGATCATGGTTCAAAGTCAGCCCGGGCAGCAAAGGCCGTGAGATTCTTATCTCCAATAAAACCACTAGAAAACCAGAAGTGGTGCTGTGACTCAATGGGTAGAGTGCTCGCCTTGAGCTGAAGAGCACAGGGACAGTGCCCAAGCCCAGAGTTCAAGCCCCATGACCGACCAAAAAAAAAAAAAAAAAAGAATTGGACTTAGAAGGGCAGGGTATAGAGACAAGGAGAAAAAGGAGGGAGAAGGCAAATGTTACTTCATGCAGCAACATTTTTTGGCGGGGGGGAGAGGGGTTCCAGTCATGGGGCCTGAACTCTGGGCCTGGGCGCTGTCCCTCAGCTCTTCAGCTCAAGGCTAGCACTCTACCACTTGAGCCAGAGCCACAGCGCCACTTCCGGCTTTTTTTTTCTGCTTATGTGGTGCTGAGGAATCGAACCCAGGGCCTCATGCATGCAAGGCAAGCGCTCTACCACTGAGCCACCTTCCCAGCCCCAGCAACATTTTCTTTTGTGGTACTAATTCCAGAAATGAGTGTGGCTATCCAAAGTCCTAAAATACTGTATGAATCCTATCCTTTGGGTAAAACATGCATGGGAAAAGGACCAAGGGAGCTATGACAAAATCACTTTCTTCTTATTGATGGTGGATAATAGTAGAGTTTATGAAGCACTGGAGCAGTTGTACAAGTGTTAATTCACTTTTCCTCACAACAGTCCTGCAGAGAGGTACCTACCACTGTCATGAACAGATAAGCAAATGGCTCCTGGTGATTAAGTAATACGTCTGACATCATACTACCAACAAGAGCAATTCGGATTCCACCCTGATTTCATATTTCAGACTCCTAGATTTAGCTGCTATGCTATAATTACAGCCTTCTGTTTTATTTTTTGTTTTTTAGCTACTTTTTGTCTTTTACTTTTTGGTACTGGGGATTGAACAAGACATTGCACTTGTGAGAGCAGGTGTCAGAGCAGCCTTTATAAATACCAATTACGAGTTTTGTAATAAAAAACAAAGTATAAACCCTTACTGCAACAGAACCATACTGCTTTCTTTTCCTTTGGTTCTTTTTGTTCATTTTTTGGTGCTACTACTAGGGCTTGAACCTTGGGCCTTGTGCTCTTGCTCAGCTTTTTCATTCATGATTGTTATTTGAGCCACAACTTCACTTTCAGCTTTTGGCTAGTTAATTGGAGATGAAAATCTCACAAATCTGTCTGCTCAGGATGGCTTTGAACCTCAATCCTCAGATCTCAGCTTCCTGAGTAGCTAGGATTATAAGCCTGAGCTGCTAGTGCCTAGCTAATGCTTTCCTTATTATCCTGAATTCAGCAGTAAACAAAAACACTATCATTGGAATTTCTTTGGGAATTGATATACCTTGAAACTGATCTGTCGAGCCAGCTCCTTGGCTTCCTGGTCGGCCTGGCTTGAATCACTCCCAGACTTTAAAGGCAGAAGGACATCCTTCATGGCAGAGCCACAGCCTTCACAGCAGAAATCTTGTGATCTGGTTAAAAACAATTTTATTCAATGCATATTAAACCAAAATTGAATTCTCTCTTATTGACACACTCAAACACTGAATGAGTTAAAAATAATTTAAAAGCAAAGCACTGAGGTTGGGTGCTACTCAGGAGGCTGAGCTCTAAAGACTGTAGTTTGAAGCCAGCCTGGGTAGGAAAGTCCATGAGAGTCTTATCTCCAATAAACTACTTAGAAAAGACGGGAAGTAGTGCTGTGGCTCAAGTGGTAGAGTGCTAGTCTTGAGTACCAAGAGGCTCAGGGACAGCACCCAAGCCCTGAGTTCAAGCCCCAGGACCAGCACAACAACAAAAAACAACAACAAAGCATTGAACACCTCCATATCACATTCATCCACATGCTCTAAGTTAGAAAGTTAGGCAATCACTATAGCTCTGAGATAAGAATATGAGATAGCATGGTATAAAAAAGGAAAAAAAAAACAGGATTAAGATTCTATTGTATCAATAAATTCTCAAAAAAATAAGCCTTAAGTCTATTCAATGTCAAAATACATAAACTGTCTATGAAACAGTCCTTAAGATTCTATAAGACTACTTAAAGCTTGTTAATATAAATTACCTTTTAGCAGAAACATATAGAGAAAAAAACAACTAAAAATGTAATTTACAGGGGCTGGGAAGGTGGCTCAGTGGTAGAGCGCTTGCCTTGCATGCATGAGGCCCTGGGTTCGATTCCTCAGCACCACATAAGCAAAAAGAAAAGAGCCAGAAGTGGCGCTGTGGCTGAAGTGGTAGAGCGCTAGCCTTGAGCTGAAGAGCTGAGGGACAGCGCCCAGGCCCAGAGTTCAGGCCCCACAACCGGACCCAAAAAACAAACAAACAAAAAAAATGTAATTTACAGGTGTTCTTTTCTGAAGTCAGGGTTATCCTCTACATCTTTCAGACACTAAAATCTAACTATGTGATTTAACAATTGTAGAGAGCCTAATCTGGGCTGTGCTACAATATATTTTCTAAAAATTAATTAACATTACCTTTTGACATATGGCAGAAAGCAGACTTCAGTATAGGAATATTACCAAAGTCAAGAATTAGATCTCAGCACTACTGAAAGGAAAGCTTACTTTGAAAGACTGCTCATAGTTATGTAGACAAAAAAAATTTTTTTTAAATCTGAGAAAAAGAAGGCATTACCAGTGGGCTATCACAAGTTCATAAATCCCCTTTACTTTATTCCAGATCATGTAGTCAATACTTGATATGAGCTATATATGTAAATACCAAGACAGATAAAGTGGTAGAGGGCTTGCCTTGCATGCCTGAGGCCCTGGGTTCGATTCCACATAAGCAAAAAGAAAAAAGCCAGAAGTGGCGCTGTGGCTCAAGTGGTAGAGCACTAGCCTTGAGCTGAAGAGCTGAGGGACAGCGCCCAGGCCCAGAGTTCAGGCCCCATGACCGGACCCAAGAAAAAAAAAAAAAAAAAGAAAGCTATATAGAAAGTAATTGTTCTGATTCTTTTCTATCTGTAATATAATCCAAATAGAAACAAATGACTGATAATGTTTTCTAGGAGAATATATCTCCCACAGAAGCATAAATATATCTCAGTGAAATATTATCAACTATTTTCAAAGAATGAGATAGCTGGCTTGGAGGTATAATTCAGTGGTAGAATGCTAGCTTAGTAAGGGCAAAGGCCCTGGGATTGATCCCTGGCAAAAATAAAAACATGAAATCACTCCAAAGAAATCAGAATTGGATTTCTGTCATTGCAGTAATAAGACCAGAGCCTGTAGCCAGGGTTACTCAAAAAGTAGGCCAGAAGCCAGGTGCTGGTGGGTCATGCCTGTAATCCTAGCTACTCAGGAGGCTAGAATCTGAGGATCGTGCTTCAAATCTAGCCCAAGCAATTAAGTCCATGAAACTTATCTTCAATTAATCACAGAAGAAGCTGGAAGTGGTACTATGGCTCAAGTGGTGGGCAATAGCCTTGAGCAAAGAGGAGCTCGGGGACAGTGCCCGTGACCTGAGGGCAAGCCCCATGACAAAAAAAGAAAGTCAGCTTGTTTCCTAATCATCATTAATCACAACCACAATGGTACTGCCACTCTAATGAAAAATAAAATGAACCACTTACTTTTTGGCAAGTGCTCTTCTTTCCTCTGGTGTGTAATCTAGAGAGCCTATGGCTCCTTCTCCTTTTGTTGGCATGAACCCAATGATGGCTAGTAATGCTGTCCTTACTGAAATCAAAACAAGGAAACATTAAACTGAGTTACTCTTTAAAATAAACTAGGGGGCTGGGAATGTGGCTTAGTGATAGAGTGCTCATCTAGCATGCATGAAGCCCTGGGTTTGAATCCTTAGTACCACATAAGCAGAAAAAGCCACAAGTGGCACTGTAGTTCAATGGTAGAGTGCTAGCCTTGAGCAAAAGAAGCTCAGAGACAGTGCTCAGGCCCTGAGTTCAAGCCCCAGGACTGGCAATAAATAAATAAGTAAATAAATAAATAAGAACTGGGTTTACTGGAATAAGAAGAAAGAAAAAAAGAAAGAAAGAAAGAAAGGAAGAAAGGAAGGAAGGAAGGAAGGAAGGAAGGAAAGAAAGAAAGAAAGAAAGAAAGACTTACAGGCTTTCACAGAAGAGGTTACAAGTAGGGAGAATTATTTAAAACACCACACAAATCTAGATATGGAAAAATGTTTTTTCGGTTTAATAATATAAAATTATCCAAAATAGATTCAACCTCATGAGTACATTAATTCATTATTATAAATGAATGCTGTTAGGAGATTGATTCACTAGTAACACTCACTGCTCCATGAAGGCTGCCACGTTTCAGGATGATGTCCAGAGATGCTCAAACAAATTTTCTTGCCCACTTCAAACCGTCCATTAGCCTTAGAAATAGTATATTTAAAAAGTTATACAGGTGTGATTAATGTGGTATCCTTTCCAAATATAAATGTATTTTGTAGTTACATATGAATAAAATTTTAATGCATATAACTTTAAGAAGCACATAATTTTTTGTCATACAGACATTCCAAAAATATTTGCTGGATGATAAATGAGTAAAAAGCTATTTTGAGATGTATTAGCACCTTTTTGAAATAAACTTATATAACTGGAATCTAAGCAATAGCATATAAAGATTTGCTGATGCCCTGCCAGTGTGTACTACAGAGCTAGGCTCTGTTAAGGACTCTAATGAGAACACCTGTAAGAAGTCAGGACCTGCAGAAGACCCTAACGGACTTAGTATCACCTAATTAGTAGGTTAGTGAGGAAGGGCATGGAGAGAAAAACTTTTTTAATATATATATTTTTTGTAAAGATACTTACAGAGAGGTTATAGTTACATGAGCAAGGTAATGAGTCCATTTCCTATCGAGCATTATTACCCCCTCCTTTGTTTTCCCCCTACCACTCCTCTCCTCCCTCACCCCCTCCCCCACAAAGTTATAAAGTTCGTTTTCAACATAGTGTCTTGTACATCTTATTGTTACAATAGGTCATCCTGTATCCTTATTTCAGGATTTTGTTATTTCCCTTCCCCTCCCCAAATTAGAAAAATGTATGCACAAGATGCAGGACACGGGAATCAAATACAGTGACAACAGGGGTTATACCATGGGGGAAGAACATACAAAGAAACATCAAAAAAATCACATAGTACATTAAAAAGAAAAAGAAGCCAGGCACCAGTGGTTCACGCCTGAAATCCTAGCTACTCAGGAGGCTAAGATTTGAGGATCATGGTTCAAAGCCAGCCAGGAAAAGTCCCTGAGACTTATCTCCAATAAACCACCAGAAAACCGGAAGTGGCTCTGTGGCTCAAGTGCTGGAGTGCTCGCCTTGAGCTGAAGAGCTAAAGAACTGAGGGACAGTTCCCAGGCCCAGAGTTCAAGCCCCACGACCGACCAAAAAAAAAAAGGAAAGAAAGGAAGGAAGGAAAGGAAGGAAGGAAGGAAGGAAAGAAGGAAGGAAGAAAGGAAGGAAGAAAGAAAGAAAGAAAAAAAGGAAGAAAGAAAAAAGGAAGAAAGAAAGAAAGGAAGAATCACTTGTCTCCCTATCTTGGGGTTCATTTCACTTAGCATCATGTTATAAGGTCATATGTACATAGCTTTTGGCCTCTTCTGCTTGTTCTAGACATATACTAGTTATTGCAGATAGAGAAACCATGGGACCTATGTTTCTTTGAATCTGGCTTACTTCACATAGTAATTTTTTCCAAGTCTTTCCATTTCCTAACATATGGGTCAGTGTCATTCTTTCTGATGGAGACATAGAATTCCATTGTATGCATATATATGTGTGTGTGTGTGTGTGTGTGTGTGTGTGTGTGTGTGTGTGTGTGTGTGTGTGTGTGTGTGTGTGTGTGTGTGTGTGTGTGTGTGTGTGTGTGTGTGTGTGTGTGTGTGTATCACATTCTCTTGATCCTCCAACAACAAATCCTCACAGAAACAACCACTCGATTAAGAAGTGGACTAAAGACTTAAAGAGAGACTTCTCTGAAGAGGAAATAAGAATGGTCAATAGGGCTGGGAAGGTGGCTCAGTGGTAGAGCGCTTGCCTTGCATGCATGAGGCCCTGGGTTCGATTCCTCAGCACCACATAAGCAAAAAGAAAAAAGCCAGAAGTGGCGCTGTGGCTCAAGTGGTAGAGCGCTAGCCTTGAGCTGAAGAGCTGAGGGACAGCGCCCAGGCCCAGAGTTTAGGCCCCACGACTGGACCCCCCCCCCCAAAAAAAAAAAAAAATGGCCAATAGACACATGAAGAAATGCTCAACTTCTCTAGCCATAAAAGAAATGCAGGGGCTGGGAAGGTGGCTCAGTGGTAGAGCACTTGCCTTGCATGCATGAGGCCCTGGGTTTGATTCCTCAGCACCACATAAGCAAAAAGAAAAAAGGCGGAAGTGGTGCTGTGGCTCAAGTGGTAGAGTGCTAGCCTTGAGCTGAGGGACAGCGCCCAGGTCCAGAGTTCAGGCCCCACAACCGAACCCCCCAAAAAAAGAAATGCAAATCAAAACAACATAGAGATTCCACCTCACCCCACTTAAAATGACTATAATCAAGAAATCTAATAACAACAGATGCTGGAAGGAATGTGGACAAAAGGGAACCCTACTGCATTGTTGGTGGGAATGTAAACTTGTTCAGCCACTTTGGAAAGCAGTATGGAGGTTCCTCAAAAGACTACAGCAATCCCACTTTTAGGCATTTACCCAAACGATCACAAACAAGAAAGACTTTTTGAGATGAGTGATTTTCAAAAGGATGACACAATTTAATGAATAAGATAGGAACAATGAAAATAAAGACCAGAGATGATTTTCAGTTTTGGACATGGGCACTGACTTGATAGAAAATCTGATGATGTCTAACGGCAGGCAAAAATCTAAGTGTGCTGATGTCAGAAAAATGTACATAAATTGACTCTGAGGACTTCTGTTTGCAGAGGTGACCAACCACAGAAGTCATGTTATAGAAATAAGAGGAAATAGCCAGGTGCTGGTGGCTCACCCCTGTAATCCTAGCTACTTAGGAGGCTGAAATCTAAGGATTGCAGTTCAAAACCAACCCAGTCAGGAAAGTCCATAAGACTCTTATCGCCAATTAATGAGCAAAAAGCCAGAAGTGGAGCTTAGCTTAAGTGGCTGTAGCTATAGCTCAAGTACTAGCCTTGAGCACAAAAGCTCAGGGAAATCACCCAGGTCCTGCATTCAAGCCTCAGGACCAGCACATACAAAAGAAAGAAAGAAAGAAAGAAAAGAAAAAGAAAAAAAAGAAAAAAGCTAAACTTTGAATGGGTAGAATATTTACAACTATGGAAAAGGTGAGGAAGAAGCTTGAAATTACAATATAGGTTCCATTTGGGCAGAATCTAATTTCATCTCTAACACACCTATAGAGCTATACATATGAGAGGAAGTGGACCAGAGAGGGTGCAACGTTGAAAATGAGGAGGGCAAGAGTGGTTTTCAGTGTGGTAACTATGAGCATGCCATTGATTAACTGTTGAAATATTTATGAACTCACTGGTAAAGATCCACTGCCGATTATCCTCCCCCACACCCACACATTAGTTTACCCATGCACCAACTCCCCTATCCAGACCAATTGGTTCTCCTATGATATAGCAAAAAACAAACAAAGTGACTCCTGACACAGCAGGTGCCTTCAGGACAAGATGAAGATTGAAGAGTCATAGCCCTTGTCAAATGGTGGCTGAGACAGGGGAGAAAGCAGGGCTCAGCAGAGAGCTACGTGGAAGTGAGACCCCCTACAATCTATACTAGAATAAGGATGGCTAAGAGATTATCAAAGGAAAAAACAGGAACAGCTTAAAGCAGCAACAGATGCAGAAAGGTTTTTGTGGTTTTTTTTTTTTAAGATTAAGAAGAATTAAACATACTCATAAATGAAAGGAAATTAGCACAAAAAAAGCCTATGAGAGAAACTGAATCAATAGCTCATATGAAAATAAAAAATGTAAAGATGGAAATTCTAAGAGTAATAAAATAACATGTGTCAAGCTCTATTCTAAAAGCTACAAGAAAAATTAATTAAAAGCTATACTTTTAATTGCTTATGAGTTGTGAGTTCATCCTTGTAAAGATACAGAAACCGAGGAAAAGAGTGTGAGAAAGGAGAGTTGGAGATCATGTGACTGACACATACTTGGCACACATGAACGCATCTGAATCCAATCAACCATGCAATGACATTTATCATCAGTATTTTTTGGACACATTAGCTGCCTAGAAATTATTTTAAGAGGAAAATACTGCAGAACAGGGCTTGAATTCCAAAGGCAAAATTATAACCATGTTTTACTTTATTTCTTATGAAAAGAGTAAGATTGCTATTTTTTGCAGCCTCCAGAAAAAGTTAACCCACAAATGTTTCAAAAAAGCCAAGAACTCTTACCGTTAGGAGAATAATGCTTGGTGGCTTCATAGGATACTCTGGTGGCAGCACTATTCGACCATGATAAACTCCTCCATCAAAATCAGAATCTGGGGGCCCTCTCACTGTGAAGTGCCATTCAAAAAGGTTGTCCTAAACAAAAACAACAATCCATAAGGGGATCAACAATATTAAAAAGCTTGATCATTTTCATCAACATGAACATTAGAAATATCAGGTAAGAAAAATCAAATGTTGGGCTGGGAAGGTGGCTCAGTGGTAGAGCCACCTTGCCTTGCATGCTCAAGGCCCTGGGTTCGATTCCTCAGCACCACATAAGCAAAAAATAAAAAGCTGAAAGTGGCGCTGTGGCTCAAGTGGTAGAGCGCTAGCCTTGAGCTGAAGAGCTGAGGGACAGCGCCCAGGCCCAGAGTTCAGGCCCCACGACCGGACCCAAAAAAACAAAAGAAAAATCAAATGTTTTATATTATTGCTAAGGTAGTTCTTATGCACAAAATATGTCAAAAATAAAATTATAAATAAAAAATAAAAGCTGTTTAAATTTTGTCATAAGAACAAAAATTTTATTTCAAAAACAAAAACTTCTGACAAGCCAGGTGCTGATGGCTCACTCCTGTAATCCTAGCTACACAAGAGGCTGAAATCTGAGGATTGCGGTGCACAGCCAGCCCAGGTAGGCAAGTCCATGAGACTCTTATCTCCAATTAACTACTCAAAAAAGCAGAAGTGTGGCGCCAGGCACTGGTGGCTCATACCTACTCAGCAGGCTGAGATCTGAGAACTGCAGTTTGAAGCCAGCCCAGGCAGGAAAGTCCGTGAGACTTTTATCTTTTATCTCCAATTAACCACCAAAAAAAAAAAACAGAAGTGGAGCTGTAGCTCAAAGTAGTAGAGCATTAGCCTTGAGCAAAAAGTTCAGGGACAGCGCCTAGGCCCTGAGTTCAAGCCCCAGGACCAGTACAAAAAAATTTTCTAAAGAAATATCCCTTATTTATAAATGATCACTAATATTAATAAATCTATTAATGTCATAATGTAATTACAAAGTACTCTGCAAAATTCTTGCATACATTATTACATTTTTGTCCTCTCTATTAAGCACAAAAATTGGCGAAGCTGGGCTGGGAAGTTGGCTCAGTGGTAAAGCGCTTGCCTTGCATGCCTGAGGCCCTGGGTTCAATTCCTCAGCACCACATAAGCAAAAAGAAAAAAGCTGGAAGTGGCGCTGTGGCTCAAGTGGTAGAGCGCTAGCCTTGAGCTGAAGAGCTGAGGGACAGCGCCCAGGCCCAGAGTTCAGGCCCCCGCGACCGGACCCAAAAAAAAAAAAAAAAATTGGCGAAGCACATTTAAATATGCTCCTTTTAAATATGAGAAAACTGAAGAGAGATAGACATATTTATGTTAAAGAGCAAATTAGCTGCAGAGACATCTCAAGGTACTGAGCCTTCAAACTTTGAGCCCTGGGATTCTTTCTTGCACCTCACCCCCCACCCCCAGGCCATAACACCTACTTGAGACCTACTTACCAAGGGCAGAAATGTGCTGTCTAAAGTATGACTCTGCAAGCTAATAAACCATTCATGAACTAGAGGAATTAGAATGGATCAAAAAATGACATCAAACATATCTGTAACGACTCAGGGTGAGGAAAAGGCGATTTTAAAGAACTTGTTTAAAATATTAAAGTATTAAAATCCAGATGAAGGAAATGAAGTTGAAAACTAACCTCTAAAGGCTGCGCGTGGTAATGATCTGTTGGATCTTTCAATTCTGCCGCTTCTTTCATTAAACGCTTAACAGCTAAAATAAAATTCATAAAACAGATATTTTAAATAGACTTTTTGAGTGGTTAGCACAGACTTACAGGCTTAATGAAAAAGTTTCTACTTCACTGAGAAATTATAGTTCACCTAAGCATAATACAATAAAGCTTTAATTGTAGAGGAACAGCAGTAAATAGGTGAAGTGAAAGAAATGGTAGCCAGACATAGAAGAACAGCATACTTTGAAGATATGTGTGTACACACACACACACACACACACACACACACACACACACACACACACACACACACACACACACACACAGGCAAGTCAACTTTTATTTAATAAGTACCTAGATAAATGCTACCACATAAGAAGTATATAAAGTGCTTTACAAACATTAACCATTTAATCCTCAAAACACTAAAGGTTATAATTACTTCTGTCTCCCTTTTCCAGATAAGGATGTGAGATGTAAAGGGATTACATAAATTGCTTAAGGTCACGCAGCTAGGATATCACAGAGCTGGGGTTCCAACACAGGCAGTCTGACTCTGCCTTGTCTAAATGTCTGTTACCACAAATGTGCCCTCTCTAGATCTCTGGCTCACAGAAGTAAACCCACATGTCCTCAACAGCTTGGGGCTTTCCACCCACTATCTTGTATTAACTTAATGGGCTGTCCCCAGATTCCACTCAATCTCCACAGCGCCATTAAATTCTTTTCAAAACTACTCTCCCCAACTTAATTAAAACCTCCAACCCACAGACTCCCACCTGTTCATATATTTACTTTCCTCTATAAGCACATCCTTGCCCTTAGAAGTCCCTCTCATACTGCCCTAATAAAAGTCAACTCTGGATGACGCACTCAACCATCTTATTTGCTATCTATACCCAATCAGTTAAGCATACCCTTCTCTCCTCTCTTTCAAAGGTGGTTAAGTGTGGTTTAAAGAAATGGATTTTACAAGAATGCACCTGAGGCCTAGAACAATCTTCAATACTACCTGGATCCACACCCTTTCTCCTTCTGTAATAGCTTTCAACTCCCTATCACTTCAAGCTTTCCTAGCTAAGAAAATGTGAAGATGGGGCTGGAAAGATGGCTCAGTAGTAGAGTGCTTGCCTTGCATGCATGAGGCCCTGGGTTCGATTCCTCCGCACCACATAAGCAAAAAGAAAAAAAGCTGGAAGTGGTGCTGTGGCTCAAGTGGTAGAGCGCTAGCCTTGAGCTGAAGAGCTGAGGGACAGCGCCCAGGCCCAGAGTTCAGGCCCTACAACCAGACCCCCCCCCCCCCAAAAAAAAAAAGAAAAGAAAATGTGAAGATAGCCACGCACCAGTGGCTAATGCCTGTAATACTAGCTACTTAGAAGACTGAGATCTGAGAATTGTGGTTCAAAGCCAGCCTGGGTAGGAAAGTCCGTGAGACTTTTAACTCCAATAAACCTCTCAGATAACCACCAGAAGTGGTGCTGTGGCTCAAGTGGCAGAGTGCTAGCCTTAAGCTGAAGAGCTGAGAGACAGGGCCCAGGCCCAGAGTTCAGGCCCCAAGACCACCACCAACAACAACTGAAAAGAAAGGAGGAAGGTAGGAAGGTAAGAAGGTAGGAAGGAAGGAAGGAAGGAAAGAAGGAAGATTGATTGTGAAGATAAGGCTTCTTAAAACTGCTTAAAAGCCAGGCACATAGTGTGACTCATACCAGTAACCCTAGCTACTCAGGAGGCTGAGATCTGGAGGACTGTGGTTCAAAGCCAGCTCTGGCAGGAAAGTCTATGAGACTCTTATCTCCAAAAAAATCTATGAAAAAAAAGCCAGAAATGGAGCTGTGGCAAAAGTGGTAGAGTGTTAACTTTGAGCAAAAAAAGCTCAGGGACAGTGTCCAGGGCCAAGTTCAAACCATAGTATCAGTACCAAAAACAAAACAAACTTTGCTTGAAACCACTAGTGCAGTGTGTGCTACAAGAGTGGCTCATGAGCAGGAGGCTGCAATGCTTGATAAGAAATGTACTCATTATCTTGCCCATGTAATTGTAACCCCTCTGTATGCTATTTTCACAATTTAAAAAAAAAAAAAAAGGAGTGGCTCTTGAGCTGGACGCCGGTGGCTCACGACTGTAATCCTAGCTAATCAGGAGGCTGAGATCTGAGGATTGCAGGTCAAAGCCAGCCTGGGCAAGAAAGGCTGAAAGACTCTTCTTATCTCCAATAAACCATTCAGAAAACCAGAAGTGGTGCTGTAGCTCAAGTGGTAGAGTGCTCGCCTTGAGCTGAAGAGCTCAGGGACCCTTATCTTTAGAGCAGACAGAGAAAAACAAGTAATTATCCAGTTGGATATGAACAGGCAGAATAATAAATGTAGTCTATGGAGATAAATTAGAATATTTTCAGGAGAGAAGTTGAAAAGCAATTCCCACATATATTCAACCAGAACAGTTTGGAATTGCTTTTTTAAAACCCTTGAATCAAGGGTTCCTAGGCTCTTAGCTAGGTATTGGTGCACACCTATATAATCCAGTATACAGGAGGCTGAAGCAAGAAGATCACAAGTATAAAGCCAGCCTGGGCTACAGACCCAGATTTTGCCCCCCCCAAAAAAAAGTTATTGAATCACTACTCTATTTCCTTTCCATCTCTTACTCTAAGCCCCTGTGGGCAGAGACATTGTTCACCTGATCATCAAATCTTTCTTAAGTTCTTGCTAAGTGCTAGAGCTACAATCAAAATATAGTTTGGGTCATCAAGGAGCTTAGTCAGAAGGGAAAGCCAATAATAATAAAGTACGATACATATTGAGACCTTATCTAGACCCAGTTCTTCGGACACATTCCACCTTCCTCTAGTCCAGGCTTTCTACACAATGTTCCCTCCCCGACAAAAAGCTGCTCTAGCCCCCTCATCTCCAGCTCCACATTTAAGGCCATTAAGTAACTTCCTCAAAAAAATCTGCTTGACACCTTGTCTTGCTTCACAGGAGTGACTAGAGACTCCCACATAGACAGACTAAAGTGTCAGAGGAGTTTTGGGCAGGGATAAAGACTAGGAATACTCTCCAACTAATTCAGTCAGGGTTGGGAAACTATGGCCCAAGGGACTAGGTGAGTTCCTTGGTGCATGCCACCACAACACTGTTCCCCTCATTAAGTGCATCTTAGCTCCCTATTAGCATCTGTCTTTCCTGCTGAATAACAAGGAAGAAATGACTTTGCAATCCCCTCAGTTAAACTGAACAGTTTCCAACATGTTTCCTTCTATGAATCTGATTTAAGACAATGGTTTTCAAGCTTACAGAACGTAAGACAAAATTCTTTCTCCAAAAGAAAAAAAGGCTTAATAAAATCCCCAATATGCAAAATAAATAAAGACCTGTTTTAGTGGAAGAGGTAAGGGTAAAGGGCTTTGGGGTTAGTTATCTTCATTTCTTCCTATCTATTACATTCCTGAAGGGGCCATAGAACAAGGACTGAAAATCCCTGGCTTAAAGCCACATAGAAAGCTTATTCTTTTTGTGGTGGACCTGGTGTTTGAACTCAGGGCCTGGGTACTATCCCCAAAATTTTTTGTTTAATGCTAGGACTCTACCACTTGATACATAGCTCCACTTCCAGTTTTTTTTTTTTTTTGTGGGGGGGGGTTGGTGCTGAATTGGAGAAAAGTCTCAACTTTGCGGCCCAAGCTGGATTCAAACCTCAATCTCAGATCTCAGCCTCCTGAGTAGCTAGAATTACAGGTGTAAGTCACCAGCACCGGTCAGAAATCTTATTCTTTTGTTGTTGTTGTTGTGGGGCTTGAACTCTGGGCTTGGGCGCTGTCCCTGCACTCTTTAGCTCAAGGCAAGTGCTCCAGCCCTTGAGCCACAGTGCCACTTCTGGTTTTCTAGTGGTTTTTATTGGAGATAAGAGTCTCGGGGCTGGGAAGGTGGCTCAGTGGTAGAGCACTTGCCTTGCAGCGGTGCTGTAGCTCAAGTGGTAGAGCACTAGCCTTGAGCTGAAGAGCTGAGGGACAGTGCCCAAGCCCAGAGTTCAAGCCCCATGACCGACCAAAAAAAAAAAAAAAAAAAGACTGAGGGAGCACTTGCCTTGCATGCATGAGGCCCTGGGTTCGATTCCCCAGCACCACATAAGCAAAAAGAAAAAAAGCAAGAGTCTCAAGGTCTTTCTGCCTGGACTGGCTTTGAATCGAGATTCTCAGATCTCAGCCTCCTGAGTAGCTAGGATTACAGGCGTGAGCCACTGGCCCGGCAGAAATCTTATTCTTTTAAATTAGTTTACTTAAGGTAAATAAAATCGTTTAAAGCTAAGTAGTTTGGTGTTGTCAGCAATCAAAAATGCTAGAGACAGTTTTTCTTTCATTCCTCATGGTCTGGCTAAATACAACAAGTAAACTGAAAAAATCAAGTTTTGTATTGTTCCATACCCATACCATATGTTCTCTGCCTCTTCCCCACTCATTGGATTAGAGAAAAGCAAATAAGTGCCCAAGAGTTATGTCCAGTTATTACAAAAGATACACGAAGAAATCAAAATTGCTACAATGCTTCTATACCAATCCTCTAAGGAACAACCTTACAACAACAGGATTTACACCTAAACTTGTTAATTTTATTAGTTCAGATCACACAGGCAAATACCATGAGAGAGCAACAACCAGGTGAGATTTTTTTTTTCCAATCTGTTGTTTTTTCAGAAATAACATATTATGAATGCCTGAGTGAGCAAGAACAGAGATCCTGGATTTAGAACTGCATTAAAATTTTGGCTTGGTCTGTGAGACTCTTATCTCCAAATAACCACCAAAAAAGCCGAGAAAGTGGAGATATCGCTCAAGTGGTAGAGTACTAGCTTTGAGCACATAAGCTCAGGGGCAGAGTCCAGGCCCTGAGTTCAAGCCCCAGGACCAACACACACACACACACACACACACACACACACACACACACTGGGCCCTGATGTTTCTGTAGCACACACACACACACACACAAATTGGGCCCTGATGTTTTTGTAGCACACACACACACACACACAAATTGGGCCC